GAGAGAGAGAGAGAGAGAGAAAGAGAGAGAGTGACGATGTGTCACGATGTCCGCGTTCACCTCCCATGATCATTCTCATAACCCTGAATTAAAAGAATTAGCGGCAAAAACGCAGTTAACTGAAACCTTCGTCGTGATATCGCGTTTCCCATGCATGCAACGAGCCTTCCTCGGACATTCGAGAACGACGTGTCGCGTTGAGGATCAGCGAATACTTGGACGATCACGGTGAATTCTTTTCATCGCTTCTGTCACTTCTGAATAATTGCATCTCGAAGTCTTTCGTTCGAACTCGCTCCGCGTTCCGCAGGACTCGTAAAACTTGTTTTTCCGATCACGGCGCAAACACATGCCGAAACCCATATTTCGCGAACGTTTACTTCCCTCCGCTACGCTTCCGGAAATGGATCGCTACCAATTTAAGGCTACTCGACTTTTATCGATCCTGAATGATCGAGCCCTGGCCCCCTGAAATCGATTCGACCTGGACTGGTTGATGCATCGCACGCGCGATGCCACCGAGGTTCAGCGCTGAATTCGTTCGTCGAAAGCTCGAGTTTTCATTCACAACAAAACGGATTACATATATAAAGCCGAACAATAGTGTCTGTCTGCGCGCGTAACGTTCCTTCAACGATATCACAACAGCGACAGGATGAATTATTAATTAATCCGGTATAGTAATGAACGTAATGTCCGTTCGCGCTTTATAGTTATCGCGTAAATAAAATCGTATTTTCTCTCTCTCTCTCTCTCTCTCTCTCTCTCTCTCTCTTTCTCACTCATACATGCACACCCTTGGTTGAAATTCCTCGGATAATCGCGATGCGAGACAACGACCACAACATTAGCTTTCGGCAGCGGTTTGCGTTTGGAGTTCGATGGAGCGAACAACTCCGATACAATCTTTCTCGTTGGTGAATGGTCGCAGCGCCGGAAAACGAGCAGCACTAATTCTAGTGCGAATTCTAGTTTGAGAGACCGTGATGGAGTTCGCGGGGGAGAAAGCATCCTTTCGCAACCGCTACCCTCCGCTCTCAGATTCGTTCGTTCCGGCTGAAGCAATGGAAAAAAAAAAAAAAAGAAATGTGGCCGCTCTCAGGTATGTCTGATCGCATGCTGCATTATCTACTACTACTTACGCGACTCGTTGATTTGCAGCATAAAGCGAGAGGAGAGCCGAAGCGTTTGCAAATAATGAGGCGTTATTATGCGCATGATTTAGATGCACCGAGCGCTTTAAAATCTATCAAGCTTTTAAAAGCGAAATTGAATTAATCGGAGAGAACGAAATTTTACTCGACATTAATAACGCGATAGGCTTTATAATATTAACGCTCATAATCGCGTAATCAACTACACCTAATTAACGAGTTAGCATCATCCAGAATGGTACAACTCCGCGGCTTTAATGCGAAGGAAAATGAAAATTTATAGCTGTTTGTGTTTAAAGTTAATTAACGCCGCGAGCCGTTTTCGGCGTCACCGACTTGCACCGACAGCTTCTGCTAAACTCTAGCGCTTAATGATCCGTTGACACTTTCTAGATTGCAGCTAACTACAAGAACCATAATTAGCTAACTGATTTCACAAACGATCTCATCGCGGAGTTATTTCAATTATTCATACAAACCTATCATTTTTACTCGTCGATTACTCAAACAATCTAAATCCCATCTAAATTCCCTTCATTTAAGGGAAACCTTCAAATTAGTCAAGGATCAATAATGCAAAGGGGCGTTCGGTGATTTTCGATGACTATTCTATAAAACAAGCAGGGAGGATCTCGTGTGATTAACGCTTACGTTGCCGTATATATGTTGATTGTGCCAGACCTTTACTACTCCTCACCGCATTGTTTCGCGACTCCCCATTGCGGTAACGGCGCAATAATTTTCCCGAGCTTTCTCGGCTGGCCTTCTCTTCTTCGGGATTTAACCCCTGGGGCGAGCGCGGTCGACCAGCGTCTCCTCTCCGGCCGGCGCGATTTAATAGAATTTTATCGGGCCGGGGCCGGGTTGAAATCCGTTCGCGGATTAAACCTGCGGTGCGACTCGCAGTGTCTCACACCTGGCATCCCGCCAGCGTTACGTAACGCATTAATTCATGCACGCGAGATTTACATGCGTTAGTGTACGACCCGGAGGCGCCGTGCCGAGGAACTAAGTTTCGCGAGAGGGAAGGACGGAGGTGAGAAAGGGAGAGAAAAAGAGAGAGAGAAAGAGTGGATTTTATGGCGCCGGATCGCTGACCGGACAAATAAAGACGTTTCCGTGGGAGATATCGGAATTTATATCGAACCGGTTTAACTCTAACATGTATTACGTTCCATATAAAGTGACGAACAAGGATGTTTGCGCAATGAGAAAATTACAATGAAAGGCGATTATAGTTGCAAAGCTTCGTTTTTTTGTATTATAAATTTATACGTTGGATTTCGACTGAATAGATACGCGGACACAATAACTATTCGAGAAAACATTTACAATAATATATAACGTAGTAACGTACAATAATATATAACAAATAACGAAAGTAGAGTATGATCAAGAAAAATAAATAGTTTATCGATTCACCATAAGTTAAACTTCACGAGAGATATCTTCGACAAATCGTCCCTATAGACGCGACATAAATCTGTTATGTTTCGCCGTAAAATTCTGATTAGGCTATTTTAATCGACTTGCTCGCCGAGGTATGAAAGGGGCGAGGGTGTCTACTCAAAGCAGGAGAGATCTGGAACTACGGTCATCGATCCAGCTAACGATATCATGTCATGTGAGTTAATGATACTCGATATAAAAGATGCGAAAAAGCTGTAACGATAGTTGTGCAGTCAAGCTTGAAAAATGTGTAGACGTCTCGCGCAACGTAACTGAATAATAAAAAAATAGTTTTACGGAAAGTTAGAATTAAAAATTAGTTAGAGTAAATTTAAATTATTTAACGAATAATATATGCGTATGACATGATATTGCTAACCAATGTTTTATTAGACATCGTGTTGTCATAAATAGTAATAATTTCGAATTTTTTAAATATTAAGCAGCTTATGCACGTATTCACAGTGTGAATGTTAAAAATTAAATGCTATTAAGAGAATTACTTGATAAAATTAAATACATTTAATTTATAAAACATTACATTATAGAATGCGTATTAAGTGCGTGTAAACCGAAATGTAAAATCGACGAGCTTTAGCAAAAACATAATTACAAAACTTATTGAAATATTGAATTTGAATAAATGTTCCAAAAAGCTTTAAAAAAATGTATTCCAAAATTCGTCAAAGAATATGTCGTTAAAAGAGAATGGCGAGTCACCCCATGTAACCCGCACAGCATTGCAACGGGAGGAGCGATCAAACCGCAACCGCGCGCGAAACCGTCACAAAGCTAATCGGTCAAAGTTCATCGTGGATCGCATGCGCAGCATTTATCCTTTCAAGACGAAATGACCTTTTCGATCTTCCACCGCAGTTTCCCGAATTTCCGCACCGCCTCTCGATCCGAGGTACGGTTTCCGCTGGCCGGGGCGGAAGAGCGCCGTTTTGCGACGCGCAGAAAACCACTGCGCCCAAAGATCTACGGCCTTTCCTTCGGTAATTGGCGCAATTACCACTAAAGGCGTAGACCCACCGGGGTTAAATCAAATTGCGCGCGTCATATTTCTGACAATCATCAATTGTAATTAATACACCGATGACCTCATCGTGTGTTTCAATTTCTCGATGCGAACGACGATGTTAACGGCGGAATTAACTTCACCTCTTCGTCAAAGCGGAATTTTTATTTGTCACCAGGAAAAGATCCAAATTCTCTTTTCCAACCCCTTCTTCTACACGACTGTAACCGAGAAATTTATTTTTCACGCGAATCTGAAGCTTACCAAAATTCGTAAATTAATTTTTCCTGATACTTTTTATCTTTTCATTATTGTTATCGGAAGATTCTGATAGATTTACACGATTGCAAATATCGTAACTTTACCTGGTAAATAGACGTATCCTACTTTCCGATGTCCTTTCGCAAGTTTTCCGGTTTCCGTTTTATTTGCTTTTTCCTTGCGTTACCACGTTACGCGTAACACGTTTTACTATTTTACCGATGTCGTAAAGCCAAAGAATATTGACAAAGCGAAGCAATATCTAACATTTTTAAGAGCCCTGAAATTTCGTATCAGCAAACGTATCCATACAAAAGGCTTATGAAACATCAAAATTCCGCTGGCATCGAATATTGCAACGGACATCGATAGCCTCCACGCAGAATGTCCCGTCGGATTAATTCGCAGATATTTGAAAATCCAAATAGAAAAGATGAATAAAAAATATTTTACCTCACGAATCTCGTAACAATGTTCGCGCGTTACAACGCGCTTTAAATGTCTAACGTTTAAATTTTCTATTTAAATATAATCTATAATTATGCCAGCTTTTTCAAATTATAATTTTGTCTTAAATAGAATTATGTAATTATTAATTATTAATATGTATTAAATAGAATTAAGTATTAATTATTAGATATAATTATATGGTAAATATTTATCGTGATCGTATGTACGACGTACGTTTATGCAAATGTCATTCTCGAGGTATCCAAGTGCGATTTATAAGTATCAATGAAAGCTCTGTGTACCTCATTCTTTTTCTCGCGTTGCAGAACTTATTTAAAGTTTAAAAGCATTCAAATGTCAGGAAGACATCGAGAGACACCCGCCGAGTCTATCGTTAAAGCAGTCGCGCTTGTAACTTTGACAACTTTGACTAACTTCTTAATTGGACATCACGCACTCAATTCATGCATCCAAAGGATACGATATAATAAACTGTATAATCCACGACGCAATGCGACCAAATCCTCTCTCTTTCCCCTATATATATATATATATATATATATATAAAAACATGCATGATGATAAAATCGCCACGTAGAATTCGTTTTTATCATTTTTGCAACACGAATAATAGGATTTGCGGAATTATAGCAACGGTTCGACTATGTATATTATATGTATGACTATGTATATGCTTACCGCTATATCGTGTGTTCGGCATATAGGCGTACACAACGTCGGTCTTGTTAAACAACGTCATGTAAAAGTGATATTTGTCTTTAGCATCCGAGTGCGGCATGGTGGTGCCTTCTATGATCCGGGAGCATTTTGTCGAATCTGTACTAGTCGCTGCTGCGAGCAGCAACATAACGCCGCACGCAATCCTGGTATTATACATCGTCTGCAAACACAGGAAAAATAACGTAACAATATTGCATTCTCGTTCGAACAAATCGACAACAGTTTGAACAGCTGCTCGTATGCGAGCAGCATAGATTATATAAAATCAAATAGAACGAGTGTAAAATCGATCAAATTTCGATATTAAATCGCGATCGCTCACAAACGTGATTTGCTGATATGGATATTGAAAAAAATGTCTTTAATTAACTTAACGTATTCTCTTAATTCTTTGTATTTCTAGGGTAATTGCATCTTTGATACTTCTATCAAGAATTGAAGATTTCCCTTTTATTACTACATTATGATAATCCTGGTCGTATATTAAATATTGTACAGAGTTTACATTGCAATTTACATAAAAAATTCAGACGTCGTGGGACGACTGAAAATAGGTCAAATTAAAATGTAAATTGGTTTCGGGAGGACAATCGGCGATTCTTGAGCATTCTCACGTTTGAAGGTACGGTCGCACATCCTCACGTCCTTCGTTTATTTCTCTATTATGCGTTTTAATTAAAATTTAAATAAAAGGAAAAATATTTCAGTATCTCTATATAATATACGAATTTAGTATTTTGCAATTTAATTACGATTTCAATTTCTGTCAAATTGATTGAGGTTGATATATACAAGTGATCTTTTTCAGAAACTATTAGGAACATGTGTTCAAAAATAATGGAGTGTAAATGGTGCAGTCAAAGATAATTGCTAATTGAAGTAAAATATTAATGAACAGAAATAAATAAATAAATTAAAATAAATTAAATAAATTTGACATTTTACTCACAATAAAAATAATTCTTTTAAATATTACATATCTCAGAAAAGAATCATATATCCGAAGAGTTAATTTTGGAAACCTTTCGAAATCTATCGCATGAAGAATTCTAAAATTTATAATCGACCGATCGTCCCAATCCTTGATTTGATTTCGCGAATTATTATCCCTTCTTCACTTAATGTAATCTTTAATTTAATAGTTTAAATGTCATTTTTTTATTTTTTACACAATAAAAACTAATTTCTTTAATTCTTTATATATAAAAAATTTTCCAGAAAACATTAATCAAGAAACTAAAAATTCAGATGTAGAAATTTGTGTAAATTGCGAAATTTAAAAAATTCAGAAGATGTAGAAATTGATCAATCTAATTCTGAGTGAACTAATTCGTTTCAGTTTTATGTGCAACGGCAAAGGATCGCGATTGCAAGGATTTGCAAACGTGAGAGCACGTGAGTATCGTTAGGCATCGTAGGTTAGAGCAATGCCAACACGTGAGACAATCACCCTCACAATGACCATGTCTTCGATATAACAAAGCGTTGCTGAAAATGCATCAACTGAGTCACTTGGCAATCTTGGCAGAATCTTGGCGCCGAAACGAGTAGAGTAGAGTCATCTGCGCTTTTCCCGGTTCATTGAACGAGCACACGTTCGAAACATATGACACACTGTAATTGCAAAGGTAAAACAAAAAGTATGAAACAAACGAACCCTTTAAGGGGTCTTTTCTAAGTAGCTTTATGATTTTTTTATTTCTAATTCAGAATAAAATATTTATATCACACCTACATTAATACTCCTATTTAAATAAAAATGATATTAAATCAAGATATTAGAAATAAAAAGTATATTAATTTTACAAAAATGTTAACAAATTAATAATTATGTCTAAGTAACATAAAAGCATAATATACAAAGTAAATATTTTATCTTCTTTTTTAATATTATAAAATAATTATAGTGAAGTAAAAGCAAAATTAGAAAGAGATGCTGGTATCATTTAAATTATTAATTATAAATAAATTTAAATTATTATTGAACGCGCGTGTACAAGGAATATTAATTCGAACATTTTTCCATGAAAATAAAAGCTATGGATAGTTAATTATTCATTACATCACAGCCTGGAATGATTAAAGCAAATAATGGCTTGAATTTCACAAAGTTTCGCAGCTATTGCGATTTAATGGACACTCTCCCCATTACAATTTAAAGTTGATGTACTCTATTTTTACACTTTATATCTCATCTGCAGTAACGTGGCTCATGACAAGCTGAGGTATATAAGATCGCATCGATATGCGAGACGTGAAACACCGTGCGACACGTTGATCCACGAAACATCACTGGGCCTCTAATAAACTGGTTAACCATAAATCCCAAGCGCCTAAATATATTGCGCCAAACCGATGTATATAGGGCATGGCATTTCACTCTGCCTGGCATTCTGCCATGTTCGTTCGCTCGGCCACGGAACACCAACAGGAACTCAAACAATATCTATCAAGAGACCCGATCGCGGGCTACGGATTTTCCTGCATTTGGCGTTTACATTACCGAAATTATATTGTTGCATGTACCCGATTTGTTTGCAAGAGAGTCGACCGCGTTGAGAATACAAAACCGAATTACTCTGAAAATATATAACGATATCAAGTGACTGTATCTTATTATTATACTACGTATATAAAGGGCAGAGATAAAATAATACAGAACTCTGAAAGTATAAATTTATAATTAGATTTATAAATTTGTTTCAGACAACAATGGAAATTCGCATGAATGGAAATTCAGATAAATAAAATTATTCATATAAATAATAACAGTCATGGTACTTTAAGTATTCTAATAATATTATTTTTATTCTATTCTATTATTCTAATAATAAAAATCTTATTCTAATAATATTAAATCTACCAGTAAATTTTTATTATATAAGATTTATTAATACAATAAACCTTGCTTTTCATTTATGTATGTATGAAATGTATTGAGAGAATTATATTATTGATGGATTGGAAAAGTAATTAAATATTATTCTAATAATATTAAATCTACCAGTAAATTTTTATTATATAAGATTTATTAATACAGCAAACCTCACTTTTCATTTATGTATATATGAAATGTATTGAGAGAATTATATTATTGATGGATTGGAAAAGTAATTAAATGAAATAATAATTCTATTTAATAAAAGTTGCATTTATTCGCAAAATTGACGTATGTACTTGATTATCAGTTAATTCCATAATTCTATAAGCCTATTAAGCCCTTTATCTAAATAGTGTACAATATTTCACGCGCGCCATTAAAGCAAGTAAATAATAATTCAAGTAAATTTCAAGTAAATAATAAATTAATACCTCTCGTTATTAATTTATAATAACCTCTTCATTGATATTTCGATCATATCAATCAATATACAAACAATTCGGCAACAATACCATGATCATGATATACTTCTAACTTATTTGTCGATGAAAAACATTTCTAGATGCTCTAATTATGCAACCAATATACAATGAAAGTTGTATACAAATCCACGATTCTATAGAAAATATATACAGATCTTATTTGCTCTATTTCTAACACATATGCTTAATATGTATACAAAATGGGGAATATGCCGAGATTTTATGTATATGATATTAATATTCGATCTTCTATCGGGATCAAAAGCTCGATCGTTATCGAACTAAATCAGGTTGCTAGATGAATAAACGGCGAAGCTATAAGAGGGATGACGAGGATGGCGGGACTTAGAGGGACTCACATCAAGGAAAGTGTAACTCTGAACGACGGATTTGCCAGCCAGCGACGTCAATATGTCGGGTTGGGACTTTGGAAGAAAAAGGGGAACGGGGAGGAACCTCATCGGCGATATTACGACGATCAAAGCTGCGGAATGGAGCGCTTAGGAAAGAGTAGAAAGGCGTATTCATATCTTCGTCAAATAGACGACTTGATATTTAACGGTGTAGATAGATATCCGTAATTTTCGCCAAAATAACCGTCGCGATATACGTTATATCCCGCGACATCGTCAGCGGATATTTCTTGTCTTTTCTCTAGCCCCATCTCCGTCCTTTCCTTTATTTACCTAAATGTAACTTTCACGAAAAATCGCGATTCAGAGATTTTATATCGTTGTAGAGCACGTTCTACCGAATACTTTCCGAAGGGAATTGCGTTCCGATGACATTACTGCTTGATAGGATATTCTTTCTTGCAATATGTGACATCGCGTTTCACGAAATCATATAAATTAACACTTTGGATTCTTTTTTGTACAGATTTTTTTTTTAATGTAAATTCCCCATTTTTTAATGTAAAGAATTAATAAGTATTTGCACAAAACAAAATTTTTTAAAAACAATATGGAAATAATAGCCTTCATTTTTTTTACTTTATTTTAAAATAAAATAATATTTCAAATAATATTTTATGTAAACTCATATTTTTATTTTATAATTTATTTTTGTGGAATTGGTATTGAATAGATAAAATTTTATCAAAATTTCAATAAATTTTTAAACGAGTTTCACCAAATTTTTAATAAATTTTTTGTACAATTACACTTCAGAGAGACAATATAAATGTACATTAATAAAATACTTTTATTAACGTCCGTCTCACTTGACTGTTATTCGTTTTTCACGCGGAAGAGTGTAAAAAACTGCTCTCTCAACGGACGATGATAAAAGCTCATGGTTTTTTATCAATCTGCGTCATCGGCATTTAGCGTGTAAAGGTCCATAAAAAATTTAGGATATCCAGCTGTTCGGCAAACGCTTCCGGACGAAGCATTGATTTTCCACTTGAAATAGTCACGACCGATAAATGCCGTCATCGGCGCTATTTCGGCTCATTAAAACGTTCGCTGTGTGTCGATGAACGACCGAATCGACATATACTTTCGATATTAACTAAATAAGCGTAATAATTTTGAAGTACAGAGAAAGAGAGAGAGAAAGAGGAAGGGAGAGAGAGAGAGAGAGAGAGAGAGAGAGAGAGAGAGAGGAGAGAGGGTAGGAGAGAGAGAAAGAGATAAAGCGTGTATACTACTGTCCATTGAACAATTCATTTCATTAGTGGCTGCCAGAATTAAATAGTTGAACAGTTGAATACTAAATTACGGTGATATCGATTCGAATTGTTGCTCCGTTAACGCCCGTCAAATCATACTTTAACGAATCGTCAAATCGTACTTTAACGAATCATCATTATTTAACATTTTTATATCGATGCCCTTATATTAAAATTTTTTAACGTTCAATGCGCCGGTATCTGTCATTAATTTGAGAAGAAAGTAATTTACGAGAAAGTATTTCGACTTATTCGATTAAATTTCTCGATTTCTTCGCAGCTTGGAATTCGGGGGCTTTCTTTCGATCAACATTCTATCCCGAACCTATTTTCTTTTTATTTGCGGTTTTGGAGGCGCCGTTTAAAGGCTATCGTCGCGAAGCCAAAATGAGTGTTAACCGAAGCGCGATTCGCCAGAATTGCAAATTTTCAGCTTGCAAGGAAGATCCGGCGCGACACGTATTCCCGGCGGCGCTCGTGTAAGAAGCGAAAATGCACTTGTGCAGCCGTCGCTGGCAGAGAAATCATCGCGATTCGATCGCTTTTTTTATCCGATTTATCCGTGTTGCATCCGCGGCCGCAACCCCTGCGCGTCTCTCCTGCGACCTTTTCCGCTTCTCGCTGTCCTTATCTATTTTCACGAGCAGCCTGACAATACGTTCGTATAACGTGCCTAGTCATGCATAAGGGAAGCATTTTGCACGCTCGACTAGTCGACAAGCCGATCGAGTAGAAGTACCAACGGACATTTCAATCAGGATGCACAATTACACTTTACCATTAAACGTCCATCACGAAATGTAACGTCGAGCAACAGTTTTAATCTAAACAATACATTTACGCACGATTTCTGTACGTCAACTTGGCTTATTATTATTTTATTTATTATTTTCCTCCAATTTTATCCGCGTTTTGTGTATGTGTCATTTAGACCTTTTTTTGTATATCTCAATCTTTCGTCGCACATTACAAACCATTGTACGACCTTTATTCGGCTAAACAAGCAACCGAAATAAAGTTTATTTCGCCAAAGGACAAAAGCGGTTTTTTCCTCGAGGAAACACACGTAACATGCAATTACACGAAAATACACAAAGGATGAAATATGTCCAGTAGTGTGATCTATTAATCATTAAAAAAAAAACACGATTACGCCTCGTGTCAAGTATATGCATCTCTTCTTCCCTTTTTCCCCGCCTTTTCCTTTCCCTCGCTTTCTTTTTCCTTTCTTACATGACATCTTCAAAAAAAAAAAAAATGTCTCGAACTCTAGACTAACAGTGACAATTACAATATCATAAATTCCCACTTAACAATACAACTGTAATTTAATACGTTATATGTTATTAATAACGTAATAATTACATTGTTCGGCACGAACATCACTAATATAACGAATATTAATATAACGCTATTGTTAACTTGAGTATGATATTTCTAGATGTGGATCGCATCACTGGAATAAAAATTTCCTCGCTGTGGATATAATCGAAAGTACATATATATTCGAATAAGTGGATACTCACCGCTCGCGAAACACGACGTACGTCGAAACGAGCTCTCCTCTCTGCGTTCCTCGCGAGTCACGTGCGTTCTCCAACGCGACAGGGAAACACACCCGCAACTCGTCCGCCGCTGCCGCGAACCTTCGGCTGACTGACACTGACAGCTGTCTGACTACCGGGCTGTTACTACTTCAGGCGGCCGGGCGTGCGCGGCGCGCGACACGCTCTGTATGGGCTTCCTCTCCTCGCGACGACCACGGGATGTTATCAAGTTTTGAATTATTTTGATTGTTCGAAGCAGTCGCGCCTTAACGGTAAGGCCGGGAGCATACACTTCCGCATAACAGCATAAGAAAATGAAGCAATCATAGTTCTCCATTTTTACACCTATAATGAAAATAAAAGACTTTGATTGATTGATTTCTCTTATGCATTATGCGTTGTGCCTTATGCAAAAGTGTGGGTCTCGGCCCTAAAAGACTCTCGGTACTCACAGTCGATTCTTATTTTGAGACTGTCTTAAGTATATCTTAAGATGCTAATACGGCTCTGTGGCTGATAATCTCTTAAGACGATACTTAAGACAGTCTTAAATATGAGATTCGATTGCGAGTATCGGCTTGTGACTCCTTTTCCAAAACTTGAACTACGTAACAATTCAGAATCACAAAGCTAAAATGATTGCTTGCTGAAGCTGAGTTTATAGCATTATCTTTTTCTGTGACTAAAATTTCCAAATTTAATGTGTAACATCTTTAATAGATAAAAATGTTACGATATAAAAGTGTTTTTTAACAAAAGATTAAAAATTATCTAATTATATTTTTTAATTAATTATTGATTGATGTATCAAAACGTTTTGAAGTTTGATTAATATATATAATTTATGGTGATTTGCGAAAAATTTGTCAATAATTTCAAGTAATTATTTAAAAACGTTTTACCTCAACAATGTAGTAATTATATGTTTCTGATGATAAACAAGCTATGTGGATTTGCTGTATAAATTTACAGGTAAAAGTGAAA